AACAACGACTTCATCGGGAATGGTGCCGTTGATGATTCCAATGACGTTCCACAAGGGCGTCGTAACATACTCCTGCTCGTTAACCAGGTTGAGCACGAGGTCGTCTGGCGAGGGCCCAATGTTATATTCCACGCCCTTGTAGTCCAAACCGCCGCCGTGCCAGTGCTCGTTGAAGGATGAGGCTTTCGGACCGTGGCCATTGAGGGCTTTGAGAAGGGGAAGCGCGTCGAGGTAGGAGATGGGAAGAGATGGGATGTGTGGCATCGCGTGGTCGACGGGCTGGCGAGGGCAGCCAGGTTTCGAGGGATAGCCTGGAGTGGTAGGGTCACCTGGCGCGAAGCCTGTAAATTGTTAGCATGGCACGACAGAATGATGGGTAACAACTTACTCAAGAACTGAACGCTTCCTCGCTGGACGCTGCTGGGTTCTCTGGCCGGTCCGTCGGGATATGTCGCAACGCCGTTCTTTTCGGTGACCTCTCCATCATCGCCAGGGTCTGTGTACATGGCAACTCCCACCATGCCCAGCTCTTGCGCGCGCTTGACCTTGAGACCGCGGAAGACGCCTCCGTACTTGGCCAAGGCGATCTTGCCTTCCAAACTGACGTTGGCCGCCTGTAGCTCCTCAAAGTCTCTGTACGTTCCGTAGTTGACGAATACGTAAGGCGCTGTCACGTTGCCAGAGGCGCTGTATCCATGGAAGGTCGGCACGCGATCTGCGAGCTGGCTTGACTTGTCCTCGTCCAAGACGTCTTCTTCCAGTCGCGCTTCGTATTTGACCTTCCACTCTTGCTTTGTCGTGCTGTCAGCCGCGTCTTCCTTGTCGCCAATCTTCTCCATGAGTGCCAATCGATGGCCCTTGGGGTAGTTGATGTAGACGTCGTAGTCGACAATGGTGCTTTCGACTCCCCATTCCTGCCATCTTTCTCTGGTCCATAGAGCCTGGCTAAGGTTCTTTCCGGCGAGATGCGGTCCGCTGGTGTAATACCTGCTCCATTCTTCTGCCTTTTCAGCACTGGGTGTTTCCAGGAGCGCCGCCTTGAGGCCTTCGAAGTCCAGGGTCGTCTTTCGCGCCCATCCGTCGGGTATTTGTGAGGTCGATAAGGAAGATGCCGAGAATCGTGATGCAGGGGCTACTTCGTCTTGAGTGGGTGGCGCAAAGGCGAAAAGGAAGACGGCAGCAAGTCCTCCGGCGATTATCGTCGCGCTCAGCAAAGTCGTGCATACAAATCGGAGGCGATGGTGTGGGTATCGGTCGCGATGGGGTCGGACATCGACGCGCTGAATCAGCGGGGTGCTTTCGTCGGCCATTGTCGCTGGCTTCTCATTGCTCGCCGGGAGCTGCATGTACAAACAAGAGGAATCTTTCACACCTGGCCAGAGGCATGCAAGATGGAAGTTGAGATAAGAGACAGCTGTGCGGAGCTATGCCGGACACCAATGGGACCGAGGTCGATGGCGTCACGCACTTATCTCGTCCTATCTTAGCGCGGCTGCCATGTCAGGGGTCTGAGGGGCCGCGGAATTTGTTGCCAACATCAGACCTTCATTCGCATCGCACATCGCTTCGAAAGGAGCGCGCATCGTGACGGACATATCTACTTACCAGGTGAATCTTGAGGCGCTTTATTCTATGCAACAGACTGTTCATCGGCCACGTGATAGCCCTCCGCACGTTGCGCGCAGCGTCACCCGGCCATCGTACACCATGCATTCCACTTGAAGTTATATATCTCTAACTCTCGTAAACGACGGTAATGATGCCGAGTGGCTTCTACGGTCTTCGAATGAATCTCTGTAGCCTCGCACAACTTCTGCAATGTCATCTGGCTCATGTTCTCAACTCCATTTCTCCACACCACGCGCTGTCTTTTTCGTCAGCGATTCATGTCTATCAACTTCTTCCGATTCTTGATTTCCTCGGCTTTCGCACCTGCGGGTCTCATGTCGCCGTCTTCAATATCCAATTACCAGAACAGCCAGCCGCTCTATCAGAGCCTCTGTGCGCAGCGACGCCGTTGCTTCTTCTTGTCATATTCCACACAATGCCCCCCTACGCAATTTTGCCCTGACGCTGTCTCGTCGTAAGCTGGGCTTCGTTCTCAGTCAACAAAGAAGCCGTGAAGGTTGCATAATGGCCATCACATCCATTGTGGCATTGTCAACGCCGAGCTCGACATTGGGTCGAAGCAATGTAGGCGGATCTATATAATTATATCTATTTCTTCCTTGTGATGGCTCAGAATCCACTCCAGTCCGAACTTTACCAACATTCCAATATTGACGCGAACGCAACACCCCGAGCCCAACACACCGAACCCGCAACACGAAATCCGCAACACAATGGCCACTCCCTCCACCGAAGCCCCCCAGCTCATGGGTATTACAGGCGACAACTGCGCGTCCTGTAAGTCGACTACCGTCCCACTTTACGACTTACCTTGCCACGAGAGCGACGACTTCCACTGCCGCGACTGCCTCACCAAGACTTTCCACGCCGTCAACGACCAATTCGTACGATGCCCACACCCGTCATGCCGCCGTATTGTCGGCTTCGAGCAGCCTACACCCCTCGCGCAGAACCTCCATCTTGACAACGAGTTTTACGACCGGGAGCGCATCGACAAGATCCGCGAGCAGCCGGAGGTCATGAACAACCTGATCGCGTTCGTAGGCGAGGAGGCTGAGGTCATTTTACAACACGTCTACACTATGTTCGAGGATCAGCTCCTGAACCCCGTAGCCCTCGGCGGCGTCGCTGGACACTACACTGCGGGTGTCGCAAACACGCTCTTAGCCAGCTTCGCCTGCAACCCCTTCGTCTGCGGGCTCCTCGCTCAGATTAAAGGCACGTTTAAGCTAATGACTACCCCGTTAGAGCTTGAAGAAGACCTCCATGCCCTTCTTGATAGACTACTTCACGAGTACGCGCAGTTGAACTACGGGAACGAGCTCACTCGCCACGGCATTGATTTGGAACATGAGGCTGAAGTGCTGGCAGCTGCACTGGATAACTACAAGCCCTTCAATGAGCTCAAGGAGAACTGGGAGCTGATCATCAAGAAGTGGGTGGAGCTGCTGGCTTGGAGGCACTTGGAGCGCCTGGCACCGCCTGAAGGAGGTGCTGCGGAGCGTACGAACCGTCAGTTCTAGGGCATAACATGTAGGCCAGAATCACATCGCGAGTATATCATAGTATAACATGCCGTCTTTCCAATCAATATCACCATTAATGCAATCTGTAGCCTGCCATATCTCTGCTCGTACGTCATATCAAAGATGCTGCCGCACTGACCCGTCCACGCGTACCTTCCCCGTCCGCTCCCAGCCAACCACATCACCCCCCCGCTCCTTCCCATTGCAAAAGTCACCCTCACCACGACTTTAATCTCCCGGTGTTCCCCCGACAGCACCTGAGCACGACCCCGACAGCATGACTAAGAAGCTCCGTGCTTTCAGGCTCTTGGCGGCTCTCCCTCGCACTATATAAACAGCCGATCCCCCTGCCCAAACCACCAACTCACCTTCTCCCGCCGGACCTCTTTAGATAGTTGCTTTCTGCTTTGCTTTCTGCTTTCTGCTTTCTGCTTTTGCTTTCTTCTTTCTGCACTTCCCCAAGAATCTGCTAACTCGGCTTCTGTACAGACTCGGTAAGGCTTCCTCCGCCTCGCATACGGCGATCCTCACCTTAGCTCGCAAGAGCTAAGACCGAATCCTCTTCGCATTTCGCAGCGATGGGGTAGAGTGTGGGCTCTCATTGAGTGCAGTGCTTTATGCACTGCCTTGAGGAAGGCTTTTGTGACTTTGACTTTCGAATTTGTTGTTGTTGTGACTTCAGTGTGTTTTGACTTCGCTTATATATGACTTGACTTGATTTGACCTTTGCCTATCTTCAGTGCTATGCCATGCTCATGATATATGTCTTCGCAACTGTGGCTCCTTATCGATAAGACTGTGCTATTCTCCATGCCATTCTCCCTATGAGTCTTCCTTTGTTCATCTGTACCAGCATGTCACTACGCTCAGGCAGTGCGCTCTCGTGGTCGATATGCTGCTCTTTCGACGCCTCTGTTGCGACTCCCAGCACTTTCCACGCTTCCATTGAACCCCACAAGCCGCACTGTGAGAATCAGGTCCCATTGTCCAGTCAGCTTCTGCGCCTGCAGTTCGTTATGCTCAGCCTCTTCCGGCTGGATATCCAACGCGACCAGCGCAGTCGAATGAAGGACGGCAGGACAACTGTGACTTACCTTTGGAGAACGAGCACGACAACCGCCGCGACAACAACCGAGGAGCTATCGTGGCCCTTACGCGTGGCCACTCACTGATCAATAAGAAGCTAGACGTCGACTTCACCGCAGTGCAAGACGTCTCGACCATCCAGGCTATCACCAAGCACGCTACGTACGTCCGTCCACGCGCTCCATGCCTTTACACGCTGACTTTTGACTACCAGGGTACTGTGCTACGAGCATACTCTCCCCCATCATCGCCGCAATCCGCTCTGCCACTTCGAAGTGAGACGAACACGTTCCCGATGTATACGCTGCCAACCGTTCTTAACTCCGCGCGAGACACCCACCGTTTGAACGACTCAAAAGTTGCCTTTGAATAGCGCGAGATCGGCAGACAAGGAATATACCAGCATGCGGGCAGGGATGCAGGAGTTGCTGGGTGCATACACTGGGACGCTGGACCTGCTTGACTCCCATGCTCACGTGCGCTTGGAGAAATTGGGCAAGGCTCATTCGGGATACTACAGAGTCTATCAGATATCACAGGCAAGCACAAGGTCAATCGACATCACGCGCACTCAAGTAGATCAATAGAAGTGTAAACATCGGTTAAATAACCAAAGCGCTATGCTACAAGAAACGGGTGTATATACACAAAAGAAGCGAAACAGTCGTCGTATCCAACGAACGAACCATCAAAAGTTGATCTCTCTCAGAAGAAGGGTATCCATCAAATCATATCATCCCCAGCGTGTTTGCTCAACGCTTACAAGAAAGAGCGAGCGTGGCGGCGAGCCTTGGAGGCAGAGCCGCTGGCCTTGCCCTCCAACCAGGTGATGAAGGTGTCGATGGTGAAGCTCTCGGGGAGGGCATCACCGCCGGTGGAAGGAGCAGCGGAGGGAGTGGCGGAAGGAGCAGTGGAAGGCTCGGCCTCGGGGGTAGCGATGGGGCTGGCGGAGGCAGCGGGGGCGGAAGGGCTGGCGGCGGGAGCAGAGGGGCTGCTGCTGGCGCTGGGAGCAGTGGAAGGAGTGCTGGGCTTGGTGGGAGTGGTTCCGTTGCTGGGAGCAGAGCCAGAGCCGCCGGAGCCGAAGAGAGGAGGGCCGGGGACGGTGTAGTCGATGTTGGCGCCGTAGGGGCTGAAGAGGATACCGGGGTCGGTGGGAGTGTAGAGCTCAGTGCCGATGACGCCCTCTGGGGTCTCGGTTCCGGAGCCGGTAACCTCGATGTTCAAGCCTGCAGATTCAATTAGTGATTGGTTCTTCATGTGACTGGCGGGGTATTCTTACATTGAGGGTAGTTCTGGGCGCCGTTGACGTCACCACCGCCGTGGAGGGCGATGATCTCGTGGCGGAAGACGTACTTGCCAGCGGCAAGGCTCTCGGGGACAGTGACGGGCCAGGTGTTGTTCTGGCCAATCATCTTGACGGCAGCCCACTCGCCGTTCTCGTAGCCAACACCGTCGATCTTGGTCCACTTGAGCTCCTCCTTCTTGACGGCGGTAACGTCGCCAGTGTAGGGAGCGACGTAGGTGATGACGGGACCGACGTGGCTCTCGGGCCAGGTGCTCCAGTGGAACTCAACGGTGCCACCAGCGGCGACCTTGGCCATGCTGTCGGAGCTGCCCTCGGGGCTGGCGGCCTTGTGGCAGATGATGTCGGCATCGCCGAAGGAGTTGGGCTCGACGAAGCCGTTGTCGAGGTTCTCGGCGTACCAGCCAATGTGCTCTGGGACCTGGCCGCCGTTCTGCTTGGCGTAGTAGTAGTCGAGGCTGAAGCCCTGCTGGAAGACACCGTCGATGGTGACGCCGTTGACAATGCCGTGGGCGGTGGCGGTGGCAGCGAGAGCCGCGATGGCGCTGAGGGAGGTAACGGTCTTGTACATGTTGACTGATGTAGATGGGGTTCTTCGAAAGAAAGGAGTTGGTAGGTTCGATAGAGACGAATGTTCGAAAGTGGTTGAAAGAGTGTCTGCCGGCTTCACACAGTGAAGGACTTGATGAACGAATGTGAGTTGAAAAGAAGGGACTGGTATAGAACCGAAGATTGAAGCTGTAGCGATGGTGCTTGGAGTGAGGTACCAGGTGCCCTATTTATTCAGTTCAGTCTCTGCTCCTACAAATGCTCGGCATACATCGACCCACATCCTGGGCGACTCGCAAAATGAGTGTCCGGAATGGTGGGTTCATGCTGGGCGCGCAGGAATATGCATCCCGCGTTGTTTGAATCGCCATGTTTCCTGTTGCGGAGAGACAAGCGACATTGTCAGGATGCGCAGGCCGTTTCCTGCCTGCAGCCAAGAGCCATCCCACGGCTCCGGACCAGTTCCAGAATCACTGCGCCCTGCCACAATCCAGTTCTCAGTCTCCGGTATGCATCGTACGCAGCGTATTCGTCGTCATGAATCGTTCCGGTCGGCGTTGTTGTGGTTTCGGGTTCGAGCGATAACGTGCAGCGGCGCCGCGCGAAACGTGCATCCCGCGTGTTCCTGGATCCGCCCTTGCATAGTAGACGCCGCCAAGAGCTTAGTTGTTTCTGTCAAACGAGGTGCCGAGGAACGCCGCATTTTGTGGCGCCTGTCAGATGTCTAGATCCGATCGTGCTGGGTTGGTAGACGTGGTGTTGATGAACGGTAGGGTTGTTGTTCATGCCCTCGATGGCGGGCGTGAAAGGTACGTCAGTAAGACGGTCCGGTTGCCGAACCCAGCTGCCGTGACCTCATCATGTCATCCCATCTCTAAGACACTCCCACCGACCAAATTTTGTCGCATACAACACCAAGCTTCCTTCGATCCTGCACAATATCCACACCGATGCTGTCGACTCGTCGACGTCGCGCGCGCGCAACCGTTATGCACCCCTGACAGCGCAACCGATCCTTGGGGCCCACCACCGAACTTCGCGTGTGCAGCCTGGTTTCAGACGTGAAACGGCCAATATTGCCCCCAATGGTAGTGGACGGAGATGCGCCTAGATCGAGGCAGGCGTGTTTGACGACATCGTCGTCGATATTAATCAAGTCGGGTATTCGGGGGCGGCGCTTCTTGGACGGCTGGCGGTGCAACTGCATGTCAGGCGCGGCGCCGTCGACTTTAACATCTTTTTACCTCTGTCTTTAACCGTTCTGCCTTTTAGGCTGTCGATGTATATGGTGTGGGCCTGAGGCTGTTTCTTCTTCTCTATGTCTCAAACGTAGCTCGTGATGAACATCCACAGCAGGTTGATATGACGGAGTGCCGTCTCTCATTCAATCCAGTGCGTACCTTTCAATCAGTCTCATAGTGTGCTGCAGCCGGATTCTACCTGGCCCTTTTCAAGCTGTTATACTGCGTTTCTTTTTCTGGGGCGTAGGCCCTATCTCCACCGCACATATTCCCAATATCCTCTCCAGATCTCCCTGCATACATGAGGCTAGATTGTTCGCAACTATCTGTCAATGTAGCGTCCCTCAAAGACCTCCCGGGTATGTCATTTCGTCGTTGTTTCCAAGGTGCTGGTATGACGTAGTCGCAATGTGCCGTCTAGCAACACCAAAACACCGCACTGAGCAGCCAGCATCTCAGTATCTCAGCATAGCATGCACCTCCAGGCACCGTCGTTACAATCTACCCGTCACCGCAAAACTCCTCGAGTACCTCCACGCAATCTCATCGCACTGCTATCCCTCAAGTCAGAATACAATGTGCCCTCCCCGCCGCTCTCACTTGTCCCACATATGCCGCGTAAACCCTCTATATTCCATCAAAACAACTCAACCCGAGTCTCTTAGTGGAGTGGTAACACGTTCACCAGCAGTTCCTGTGAGTACAGAGTGTCAGTTGACGCTGGCACCATAAGTGTCCCGGTCACTTGACTGGTGATAGCTGTGCTTTGCAGTGTTTGTGAGAGACGCTTGTTCGACTCAAGCAGAGACCAAGTATATCATCTTTTTTTGCTAGACTTAAGTACGTACGTAAAGTAAGGTGAAGGCCAACTGTGTTTGCGTGGGTGTGCCGCTCCGATTGTGATTTTCGTTGGCGGCATATTTGGGGTGAAGGACAGTGCGTTTTTTTACCCACTGTGTCTTCAGTTTTCCACACAACTCCAATAGTTCTATATGTAATATGGACCCGGCTCTCTCTTCATCAAAACACACCAGGCTTCTTGGTCTAATGGTATGATGACACAGACCGACAGGTTCTCCGTCAAGGTCATTTGTATAGTATGTGTATTGAAGGTAACTTCGGACCTGCTTGAAATGCCATCGTGGCGCGCCATACTTGTGTAGATCAAGGTTCGATCCCTTGAGAAGCTATCATTTTTTGCTTGTGTAGACGTTTCGGATCATGTCTACATTGGCTCTTTTTTTGTTCAAGGTCTGGGCAACTTTCTCTTTTGAGGAATACGACGACGGTAGAGGGTGAGTATCTATATCTCACGACGTCTATGTAGACCCTACGGCCCTTTATACCTTGTTGTTGCGCTGATTGTGTTCTTTTTGTATCCTGTAAAGCTTGTTGTGGTATGGCACGCGTTGATTGAAAAGCATACGTAAGCGGCTACTCCAACCACGCCTGCAGACCGCCAACCAGCAAAACAGCAATACCCAACACCCATTGCGCAACCCCAAAGGCACCCTGCACATCGTCCTTCTTAATTGTCCACAGAATCGCGAAGACCGCACTACCCAAACCGCAAACGCCCATAGTCACTGCCCACACGCGCTGCGCAAGAAACCCCTCCACGAGATGAACGCCCCATCCCATACCGAACTCCAACCGCTGTCGCCGTTTCGGACTGCGAAGATACGTTATCAGCTCGCCTTCATAGTCCTGCGGGTGCTTGAACAAATGGAGGAGATACGTGCTACCCACAGGCGGCAGAAGGTCGTTGGGCTCGAAGGTGTACGGATGCTGAGACGGCGCTGCAGATTTCTCTGACTCGCTGGTAGAAGCTGAAGAAGCAGCGGACTTGGGCGGCATAGACGGCGTCGCTCGAATATCCGCGAATCGATTGCGATGGACTTCGAATTGGACAAACTCGATGGTCGTTAGCCCGCGAAGACGAGCCCAGTTGAACCACCGTCGATTGAGCTGGTCATAGTGCTCTCGCAGTGCAAGCGCTAGATCTTTGTCGCTTCTCACGCGCCCTTCGTTGACATCGAGATGGACGATCTTTGGTGTCAGGCGGCCTTCGTTCGCACAGGTCAGGAGCCAGAATTCTTGGACGAAGGACGGCATACGGACACTGAAGGGGTTGCTGGCGACGGTACGCGATGGGCTATACTTGGAAGGGTCGCTGCCTCTAGTCCAAGAGTTAGGCCCGCCGTATGTCGACGACGGCGTGGTCAATGTGGACGCTCTGCTCGACGAGTCAAAGATGGAGGCCATCGATGACGCGGTGCTGCTTTGGCTGGTAGGGCTATTTGGTGTATGAGCTCTTGGGCGATTGAGATAAGCTTCAAGAAGGCGGGCAGCATTGGGTCGCTGTTCGATAAAGTCGTCATATAATGGCTCACCGCATGACTGCATCTTGTTAGCAAGGTTTAGAGGAAGATTATGCTGAGTTACTGACGCAAGTCCATCGCACCCGCACATGCCCCTGTGGCACGGGCGGTTCAGTACCGAATGTATCACGAAGCAATCGAAAACCTTCATGTGCTTTGTCTGACAAGGCACTCAATGCAAGACCCCAGTACCTCAATGTTGTGTTTCGACCCTCAGGAGATGCCATCCGTATTTCTGCTTCCGGAGGTAGTGGTATCTCGCCAACGTGATCGTCAATGGACGGTTCGACAATGGTGGGCACTACAGGTTTTTCGAATCTATCACCAAGATCCTCATTCCCTGACTCAATCTGATCTAAAGCTCTTCTTAGCGCTTCACGGAGCTCATCTGCGCGGCTCGCTCCTGTTGACTGGGATGATAGCAGTGCATTGGCATCCTCGGTTCCTATTGACGAAGAAGAGGACGATGCATGCTTCCGTATCCTGGGTGATCTCTTGCGGCGCGTCGCTGGCGACACATGAGTTGACTTGGTCTGAGGTACGTCGGTGTTTAACCGTAAACCATGTTTGGGCCGAGAAGGGACATGCAGGTCGTCTGCTGATGCATGCCGGACATGCCGCGGTTTGACCGCACTCGTATCTCGCATCGGTTGTGACCAGGTGGCATACTCTTCTGCCAGTAGATTAATTTCCGTCGATTTCCGAGACACCGGACGAATGCGCTGACGCAAAGTAGTCGAGTTCACCAAATCCTCTATGACTTGATCGTCGGATGCAAAAGCTGTCGATTCTACGCGACGCTTGACAGATTTGTGAGCATCTGACCGCTTGAGGTCCAGGGTTGCTCCGCGACTCTTCACTCGGGGACGCGTCTTCTTCTCGACACGCTTTCTGACGGGTCCAACGAGTGACAGACCGCGAGTTGGCGTTTTGACGATACTGGAGACCGAAGCCGAGCGAGTGGGAAACAGCGATGGGGCCTGACATGACGCTTCTACATCAGTCTGATCTTCATCCATACGGTCGTGGATCGAGCGAATGTCTGGTATCAGAGTCTCGGCATCACTGAAGCCATCCTCTGCAATCGAAGTTCTGGCTAAACTATGATGCGGCAGATGACTCCTTGGTGGAATCGCAGACGGCGGTGGTCGTTGAACGCCTGATGTGTTGGAAGTACCGATCTCGAAGATGTCATTACGACCCAGAAGACTATCGGAGATTGATGCAATAGTTGTTGGGGGTGAATACAACTCAGCAGGCAGAGTCGCTGAGTCAAGCTCTGGAGTCTCAGATGTCTGGTTCGCAGCGATATGCTGGCCCAGATCCACTTCTGCTATCTCGTTCGAGTCTGTCGAACCTTTGAGCAAGCGCACCACATAGCCCTTCCCTTTCTTCTTGATCCTGGCTTTGATATCGTTAAGTCGTTTGGACTGGATGGAAGCTGTTGAGTCGCTCCGCGAGAACGACGCATTCCAATCTGGTACGACCTTTTTCAGAAATTCAGGAGGTACATTGTCTAGGTCGGCCCAGCCTTGCTTGTCGTGTAGAGGAGTAGTCGGTGGACTGGTCTTTTGAAGCGCAAAGGGTACTGAGGTTCCTGCATTAGAATTCAAGCCGTCTCGCGAAGCTGTGGACGCCGCAAGATTAGGTGCACCACTCAGAGGTACTTCGATCGATGACTGCTGTTTCGGGCCCAGGTTGAAGACGAGCTGGAATTGGCCAGGATTGCGCGCATCTTCTTGGAGGTTTAGGGTAAATGGCACTGATTGTGTCTTTTCGTATTGCGGAAGAGGCGTTTCGCGCCCCGCATCAGACGATATTGGATCATTGCTCATCGGTTGTTGCTGATTGAAGCGCAAAGGCACAGGAGAAGCGATTGAAGAAGACTATCGCGATGCACAAGTCAGCCGCCAAAACCGTCAAATGTCCACTTCAGCCTTGCGATGACAAAGGATTGCCCTGCCTGAGACTTGAGTGGCATAGAGACTTACCATGTTCGCATAGTGTTCACGCCGCGATGCAGGAACAATCGCCTGAGGGACGCAGAGAGGGGCGACATCTTGCTGGTTTTGACCGGTCCAGGCTGCAGTCAGCTGTAGATTCGACGAACCGGAGAGGACTGCTGCGGTCGTTCCTGCACTGCCACCACTGCTGCAGAGCGATCAACGAGGCTGTCGTGCCGACCCGATGATTGGCGAACTTCATCAGCCGAACGCAGCCAGCATCACATGCGTGGGTTGCCTCATCTCTATCTGTCTTCTTAACTCTGCCTTACCCGCTGAAGCGTGGATGTGCGATTGCGCAGCCTCGATACACTGTAGTACCTGCTTCTCGCCACCAGACGCGTCGCCGGTGTCGTCTTTCTGTGCAAACCCCCTACGCGTCACGCTCTGACACGCCGCCGGAACTCAACAAATCTGTCCGATCGTGTACGAGACGAAATTCACATCGCATGATCGCTGAATGGAATGCGCAGTCCGCATCGATGATGTTGAGATAGACTTCGTGGCTCGAGGTAGCGAGCTGTCGCGTTCCATGGCACCCGTGGACGCGCCTTCCCGCTGCAAATGCCGTGCGTCATGCCACACCCATCTCCCACTTCCAGCCCCCAACTCCCGACATATACATACACCACCACAACACAACTGCGGTATACCTCCGATTTCCAAGATCTTGGCCATGATGCTCCGGAGAGACTCTCGTCACATGCTCTCATCATTCTTCCGGACCAATCTGTTCAGAGTTCTTCCTCCGCGCCTCGGCACATTCGATGACTAGGCATTAGCTAAGTTGGCTAAGGCTTGCTCGGTGTATAAACTACCGCTTTCCCCGCAAGACACGAAGATCCTTGTTCCCCACAATTACTCCGGACAGCGGTCTCCAGATTCCCGCCATTGAACGACGTGTTTTGTGCGGAGAGCAAGGATGCTTGCCATGTGTGGCAGGGCGACATGACGTTAAACGGGCAGACTCCGAGAACTACCTCGCACCACCGACCGGGAACAGAGTATCGATCACATGGTAGTATGGTAGATCCCGGTTGACTGGCCGGTAGAGTTGCATTGGCATTTGTTTATATACTTTGTTGATGCCGGCTGCGACTTTGGCTTCATCTTGCACATCTCTCAAGCCTTCAAGATGCGTCTCTCTACCCTCTTCCTGTCGCTCATCAGCGTCGCTACGACCGTCTCTGCGCACCCCAAGAAGGCAGAACAGCCTACCTTCTCTCGCAATGTAATCTTCTCACCACCCAGGGACGCCAACTGGACCGACCCCGGTGTCCTCTATGCGCGAAGTGCCCAGCTCCCTGACGGTTCGCTCCTCGCAACCTGGGAGAACTATTCGCCAGAGCCACCAAAGGTCTACTTCCCCATCTTCAAGTCATCCGACGGCGGAAAGTCATGGAAGGAGTTCTCGCGCGTGCAAGACACAAAGAACGGCCTCGGTCTGCGCTACCAGCCATTCCTCTACGTACTTCCTGAGGCGATTGGTGGCTACAAGGCCGGCACCGTCCTCATCTCTGGATCCTCTATCCCCACCGATCTCTCAACCACCGACATCGTTCTATACGCCTCCAAGGACAGCGGCAAGACCTGGGAATTCGTCTCCTCGATCGCCAAAGGTGGCGAGGCTCGTCCCAACAACGGCCTTACTCCCATCTGGGAGCCTTTCCTGATGATGAACAAGAAGACTCTCATCTGCTACTACTCCGACCAGCGCGAGAACGCCACCTACGGCCAGAAGATGGTTCACCAGACCACCACCGACCTCAAGACCTGGGGCGCAGTCATTGACGACGTCACCTACCCCACCTACACCGACCGCCCTGGTATGCCCACAGTCGCCAAGCTACCCAACGGAAAGTACATCATGACTTACGAGTACGGTGGCGGACCTGCCATCACCACCTCATACCAGTTCCCCGTCTACTACAAGATCGTGTCCGACCCTGAGAAGTTTGGCGAGGCCACCGGTATCAGCCTCAAGTCCACCGACGGTACCATCCCTACCGGTTCTCCATACGTCGTCTGGAGCTCTGCTGGCGGCAAGAACGGAACCATCATTGCCAGCGCACACAGCAACTCGGAGGTATTCATCAACAAGGGTCTTGGAGAGGGTCCTTGGGTCAAGGTTGCTACTCCTGAAGCAACCTCGTACACCAGGCATCTTCGCGTCCTCAAGGACCAGTCCAAGTTGTTGATTATGGGTGGTGGAGAGCTGCCTCCTGCTAGCAACAACTCAGTTACTGTTACTGTTGTTGATATCAGCAAGTGGTAGATTAGATATAGTAATATTGAAGTAAAAATAGTATCAGTAGAACACACATGAAGTTACAGATATTCCAACTCATTCCCACGTGCTCTTGATGTCGTACAATAATTTAGCATCAGCAGTGATGCAAGTATACTCACGCATGGAAATACAGTTCCTTTCGTCCGAGATGTTATCATGTCTCTGGGCTGGAGTCCGGCAGAGTTCTAATGCTTCCTCTGTAGCTTGACGTGCAGAATAGGGGGGCCAATATACAAGTAGCATATCAAACAACAACGCACGTGCAAAAGCTTCTCTGTTGGAAGCATCGATTAGTCGTCGCCAGCGCCGGATGGAACCGTTTCGGAGTACCGACTGTATAGTTTTGGACGGTCCATGAGGCATGTAGCCAGTGCACACCAGAGTAAGCTATCAAGATTAACGATACCGATAGCTTTATACCACATTCAAGAATTAATTGCGAAAGCGCGCTCAAGCAATGACGATGTTCGCGTGTCAATGTTCGCGGTCTCAAAGAGTGATGGTTCGCGGCCCCGCCTAGCGCCCCACTAGCGCCGGCCCGACCATTGTTCCTAAGCGAGCCACCGTGGGTCGCTGAATTTGGCTCTCGCGATATCTTCGAACGCCGCAGCATTCAACGACAAGCCCACGGAACCGCCTCTCTCCACCTCCCACTTCCAAACCAATACCGCAATCATGCCCGGAGTTTCCGTCAAGGACATCGAGTCCCACAAGTTCGTGGCCGCCTATGCCGCCTTCTTGAAGCGTCAGGGAAAGCTTCCCATGTAAGTTTTGGCCTTGCGCAAAACCACACGATGTCAAATGCTAACGTTATGTCAGTCCAGGTTCGTCTCTATCCAGCGGGTGAAGGATGAAGCCTGAATCCCGTAAATGGGGGATAACCTCAGTTCGCTGACCACTTATCTACAGGCTGGGTTGACACTGTCAAGACAAGCCGTAAGAATCAAATCTCCCCACCCATGCGAGAAACTTCGACTAACATGCGCAGACTCCAACGAGCTTCCTCCCCAGGACATTGACTGGTTCTACGTCCGCGCCGCCGCTGTCGCCCGCCACGTCTACATGGTATGCAGAATGCCCACCACAACGAACACATGAAGGGACGGAATGCTGATGAATTGCACAGCGCAAGACCGTCGGTGTCGGCCGCCTCCGCAAGGTCCACGGCTCAACCAAGAACCGCGGTTCGCGCCCCTCCCACCACGTCGACGCCTCCGGCTCCGTCGACCGTAAGGTCATGCAGGCTCTCGAGAAGATCGGTGTGCTCGAGCAGGACGAGGACAAGGGTGGCCGCCGCATCACACAGTCCGGCCAGCGTGATTTGGACCGTATCGCGCAGACCACTCTCGAGGCTGAGGAGGAGGAGGATGACGAGTAGATTATCACCTTCTACGCGGAATATGTGTAAAAGAGCTGTCTAGCATTTGATTGCGGGGCGGCATTACGGATCTACCACGGTTTACGGCTTATGGCGTTGAAAGACATGATTGAGTCGGGCCTGCTTTTAGCCTAGGACACCAATGACACTGGGCTTGGGCCTCAAAAGCAACATGATACCCCTACCTTCGACATCCGTGCAAATCGTTCCTGGTACTGTGATTCCGCCATTGCTATGATCTCGCTCTCTCGTTGAAGTTCACGCGCGCTTGACCATGTCATGTCCAGGAACATACGTCGCATGTGGCCTTTTAACGTGTGCACATGCCAATTGATTGCCAATATCTGCAATATGCAGGACTCTCTATATCCAAACTCCACCACACTCCCGGTGCTCCTCAAAACAAATCGGTCATAGCACCATGGCTCGCATCCCCCACCAACCTCGCATACTTCGCCAACACACCCCTCGTGACGGGCATACTAGGCGCCACCCACTCCCTCAGCCGCCTATCAATCTCCTCCTGCTCCACAGCCATATCAATCCTATTCTTCTCCGCATCGATCGTAATCATATCGCCGTTCTGCACGACGGCAATAGGACCACCAACCGCAGCCTCAGGACAGATATGACCAACGATGAACCCATGAGAAGCACCAGAATACCGTCCATCAGTGATAAGAGCCACGTTGGTTAGTTTAGCACCCATGATAGCGGCAGAGGCTTTGAGTTGTTCAGGCATGCCAGGACCGCCTTTGGGGCCTTCGTAGCGGACGACTACGACAACGTTTTCGCCATGCGGGATCTGGCCTAAATTGAGGGCGCGGTCGAGCTCGTGCTCTTTGTTAAAGACTATAGCTTTGCCGGTGAAGATTAAGCCTTCTTTACCCGTGATCTTTGCTACGGCGCCCGATGGCGCGAGGTTGCCGCGGAGGATCTCAATGTGGCCGGTGGGTTTGATAGGGTTGGACAGGGGCCGGATGAGGACTTGGTCTTGGGGGAGGGACGGGTATGATTCGATGTTTTCGGCTAGGGTTTTACCTGTGACGGTGGGGATGCTGCCGTCAAGTAGGTTGGCTGCTACGAGCAGCTTCATGACGGAGGGCATGCCGCCGATGTCGAAGAGGTCGGCGGCCATGTACTTTCCTGATGGCGCGAGGTCGGCGAGGAAGGGGATCTTGTTGGAGACGCGCTGGAAGTCGTCGAGGGTCAGGGGGACGCCTGCTGTGCCTGCCATGGCGAGGAGATGTAGCACGGCGTTTGTGGATCCGCCTAGTACCATCATCATAACGAGGGCGTTCTCGAAGGAAGCTTTTGTCAGGAGCTTTCGCGGTGTGATGTTCTTCTCCATGCAGACTCGTATCGCAGCGGCAGCTTTGGCGCATTCGCGCATCTTGGCGGGTGAAGTTGCAGGCGTTGTGGAAGAGTTGGGGAGAGTCAGTCCCATTGCCTCGATCGAGGTACTCATTGTGTTGGCTGTGTACATTCCTCCGCAAGCACCAGCTCCTGGGCAAGCATTCCGCTCGATATCCTCCATGATCTCATCTGGTGAGAATTTGCCCTCTGAAGCACTCTTCAGGTTCTTGTATATATACGCGCCGTGGCTTTCGTAGCAGGTCGAGATGTTGATTGGCTTCTTGAGCGTCTCGGAGTATCCTGGCATTATCGAGCCGCCGTAGACCATGAGCGAGGGACGGTTGTGTCGCGCGAATGCCATGATGACTCCGGGCATGTTCTTGTCGCATCCGGGGATGGCTATGCAGGCGTCGTGGTGCTGGGCGCATGTGACGGTTTCGATGCTGTCGGCGATGACTTCGCGAGTCTGGAGTGAGAAGCGCATTCCTGGAGATGTTAGCAAGCATGGAGGTTTGAAAGAGTGAGATCATACCCTCTCCACCCATTGTGATTCCATCAGATACACCAATCGTGTTGTACTGCCATGCCAGCATGTTGTCGTTCAAGACGTGCTTCTTGATTTCCTTCCCAAGATCCAGCACTACCCATCGTCAGTACACTACGTCGAGACTATGTTGGCGTATATCGCGGCGTTCGCATGGGTCACTCACAGTGCATGCTGCATTATCGTCAGTATTATGACAAGGAATCCAAAGAGTATACTGACTTGCAAGGGTTGCCCTCCCACCAGACGCTCGCAATTCCCACGTGGGGCTGCGTCTTCATTGCTTCCCGTGATGGTACACCAGCTGCGTATAGCATTGCCTATGCGACGAGAGTCATTAGTGACTGGAATGCTTCAATCGTCGTGGCACCGGGTAGCGAACCTGTGCTCCAGGGAAGTTGTGACCGGTCGTGAGTGTAGATGAGTATTTGTTCAGCGCTGGCTTGCCATCCTCGAGCTTCGCGTCATCGGGAAGATGTGGAAAGCTGAGGAATCGTGGCTCCTCTGGTTCTCGCTGCTTCTGGAGGTTGCGCGGGTCCATGGCGGGCTGCTTGTCGTGCGGTCAATGGTAAGAAAGGTCAGTGTGGCTGGAAGAGTAGAGAGGAATGCACAGGCAGCTCAAGAAGGAGTCAGAGAGGCAAAGGTAAAGTTGAGTCAATAGACGAAGTAGTGAGAGATACGGAGATAACTAGCAGTTACCGTGTATACCCAGGTACTCCCGTAGCAGGGATCTACACATTCGTCGGCTGCCCTAGTGACGAAGGAGCAATCCGAATGCTCGCAGCGACGTCTGTGTGGGGCGTCGACAGCCCTTCGTCACGTTGCGCTGGAGCCAACGTTCGGAACGATGGAGGGGTCCGTCGGATGAGAACATGGTAGACGCGTGAGTTTGACAGCGGTGGACACGCTGCCATTGACCAATGCGACGGGCCTGATTGAAAGCCGATTATGACGATTCGAGGCCATCTAGCGCCGTGTGGTGTGGTTTGGTCTGGGGAATTTACTTTGGTCGCGGCCAAATCCGGTGTGTGTCGGCGCAACTACCGGCGTGGCTTCGGCTTGACCACATGCGGCGTCTGCAACGGCGAAGTCGCTCGCGGGGTGGTTCTGGAAAGACGCCAGATCGCGCTGGGAATGGCGGGAGCCTCTCGCATGCATCCTGCGAGCCTGGCGCTTTGCATGGCCGTCGCAGCACGCAAGGCTGCATGTCGGCTATGTACTGTATTCATCTGTCATGTCGTACCGCGACGGTCAGGTAAGTCGATCTGACCCGAGTACCGGGTCGTTCCCAGTACATGTACAGTACTGCATTCTGCCTTGGGCTGGGGGAACTGACGACGAAGAGCACACGTCGCTGGTGTATCGGGCTGGCGTCGCACCGGAAGATCCGGATCACAAGAAAAGCACGCGCAGATTGGCAGCAGGTCTCAATCAGACGGGGAGATGGGAGGACTAAGTATGGTTCTCCATAGAGTTCGCAGTGATGATGGTCAGGGGAAGGCCGTTGGAAAGGCTCCAGCATCCCTGCCAAGTTCCCACGATGGACGTGAAAACGCCGCTTCCGAAGCCTGGCAGCAGCCCAACCCAACGTCATACCGCCCATGCGCCCATCACAAACCTCTCTACTAAGCAATTTCCATATCGCAAACACTCCCACGCCATTCCCTGCCGAATTGGGGGTTGCAAAGCACTATCGCACAAAGCAAAACCGCTCGCTGCCGCTTTATCTCTCCATATCGCTGTGTCAGGATGATATCCTCGTCAGATATCGGTCGCGCCTTCAGATCCCAGATTAAGGAATATCCTTCGTAGCCGCGCATTCGCCGTTGCCAAACGTGCGCAAGGTTTCCAATAAGAGACGCTCTCAGCACCGGCTCTTTCTCTCCAGCGATCCGGGCACGAGAGGCACCATCTGATTCCATTGGCTGCCGCCCAGTGCTCGTCACCGTCCCGCACGCCGGCAACCCGAACGCCCCGTCGCATATACTTTCAGCATTCCAGCACGAAAAGGGACATGGAGCCTCATTCGCGACCTGGCTTGTTCCGCAATGGCACGTTGCGTCTTCCACAGGCTCCCCTCGCTGCCTCACCCAGCGACCAAGTGACACAGACCGCTTCAGACCTTAATCTCTGGTATGGGCTCAGTATAAAGCAATCCGCCCTCCGTCTGCTCCGGCTTCTCAACCCATTCGTAGTTAGCGGAGACCGGTTGACTCTGACTTTTGTGGGCATGCTCCAACTGACAGCCTTGTGTGGGTTTGGATCTGTACTCTGGTATAGGAGTAAGGGAAACAAGGGAACCGCCATCAACACCCAACATGTATCTGATACCGCGGCTGGTGAGTGTTCTGCCTAGCGACACACGTGGATGTCATTCATCACGTGGCCTAGCTGGCGATCATCTAGCCTTGTTTTACTAATCCTCCGCAGATGAAGCCGCTGGTACAGACCCAGGCCTATTGAAGAAGTACTCCACCGTTCGCTCCTACACTGTCTCGTCAACTGGATTTGTCTACCCCAGGCTCCGGACCTTTTACCGCCCACATCATCAAGAGGACAAACTCCCCAAGGATCCATGTCCTGTTCCACTACTGGTGTTCATCCATGGCCTCGGGGGCTCTATCGCTCAATTCAGTCCCATCCTTATCAGTCTTTCCAATCTTGCCCCTTGTCTGGCCGTTGACCTCCCTGGATGCGGTGTGTCAAGCTTTGAACCAAAGACATGGGGCGCTTACACCACGGAAGCCCTGGTGCAGCTTCTTGCCGTCGTTATCGAAGCACATCGTGGAGTCAATGATGGACAGCCTGTCGTTCTTATTGGCCACAGCATGGGATGCTCACTTGCTGCGCTCCTGGCTTCCCCAACTTCACCACATGCACACCTCCTTTCGCAGCATGTCAGCGGCTTGATTGCCATCTGCCCCAAAGCTGAACCTCCTACTGCAGAAGAAGTCAAGAAGCTACGCTCTGTCACATTGATGCCTGCCGCTCTTTTCGATCTGATTAGACGTTGGGATAGAAGAGGAGGTGTCAACAGCAAGAGCGTGCTACGCATGGCAGGTGTGGATTCTGACGACGAAACGAAGAAGCTACAATTGCG